ATTTTTGCAATTTTAAAGTGAATCGATTAAAAATCACAAGATCTGCGGCTCATGAAATAAGCAATTATACATACAGTACGTGGCCACAATTTCGATTAAAGCAAAATACAGCAAAAGTACGATATTTCGGTATGTTCAGGATTGCAGTGATGATGATTTATAGGAAAAAAATTACATAATGCCGCAAAACGATTTTTTTTTCGTAAATGAAAGTACTGAATATAGACAAATACTGCATATTATAATTCATGAAAATATATGCAACTAAAAATTTTTAGGAAATAAATTCATTCATAATTTAGTTATATTTAATCAGTTTTTGTTTTGAAGTCATCAGTATTACTAGTTTGAATGTTCACTCGCTTCACAAATTGTAATTCTCCTTAAGAAGGAGGAGAGAAGGGAAAGAAAAAGCCTTAGAATATTAACATTTATTATTTCTTCAGAATTATATTTTAAAATTTTTCTTATCGAATTTCAGAAATGTATTCAACTGTTCACCAGCCTGCATGCCATATGAATTTCACAGAATCTTTTTCTTCACCGATACTTTCCACATCTTTCATTAACTGCTGATTCAAAGTTCTTTAAATTATGATGTTGCCAACTAACTCTTCCACAACAAAGATAAAAGCATAATAGCCAAGAGCTTGGTATTTATAAAAAACAGCCCTCCATAAATTATTCATTTTATGGACTTTCAGTCCATTCAATAATTTCTTTCTCTGAAAGCTTCAAAAGTATATTAATAAAAAACAGCCCTCCATAAATGATTCATTTTATGGACTTTCAGTCCATTTAATAATTTCTTTCTCTGAAAGCTTCAAAAATATAACTGTAAAATGATTATAAGACTGCTGAGCCTTTCTGAATATAGCAGAATGACATGGAAATAGCATGATCTTACAGGAAGTCGATGAAAATGATACCGGATTATCAATGGGACGAACCATGGATAACAGACTATTGGACTTTACACGCTAAAAGTTTTGTATAAAATGCAACAAATAAATGAAAACCATACGTAGCATTATAAACAAAATATAATATATAATCCAATTCAGAAGTCAAACAACAAAAATCAGCGTTATATTTACAAAATTTTTTTCACAGGACTAGTTTCGATGGTTTTACCGAACCACCATCTTCAGCTGCAAAACCGCAAATGATTTGCAGTTTTGCAGCTGAAGATGGTGGTTCGGTAAAACCGTCGAAACTAGTCCTGTGAAAAAATTTTTTTAAATATAACGCTGATTTTTGTTGTTTGACTTCTGAATTAGTATTTAATCGGCGTGTTATTGTGTCTTAATATAATCCAATATTTACAAGAATTTTAAATAGGTAAATGGAGGAGTTATTTTGTTGAGAAGGCTTTATATTTTATTAGCCACCAGCGAAGTTCGAACTCCTGATCTATGGCTTATATGTTCTCTGGGTTAAGCAAAAAACTTTTTTGAACAATTCTGAACTTTTGGTAATTTTTCAGTCGAATTACATGAAATGTTCTGTTCTTATATTGTATCTTTCTGTCTAGAATGGTAAATAAATTATTAAAATTTGTATCAATATCATTTTGTCAAATAAATTTCTCAATCCAGTTAAATTACGTATACTTCTGACAACAGGTATTCCAAGTGAACAATACTGACTTAGCATATTTTATTTCCAAATTTACTCTTTAGTATCTCTTAAGTAGAGGCTTATTTGCGCAAATTCGTCTGTACAAACTTAGCTGCCGAGCATCCTACGTATGACTTCAAACAGTTAAATTAATTTTTCTAAGATAATTATTGTTATGAATAGCAGAATTGATTATAGAATCTCAACTAACAAGCATGATAGCAGTAATATTTATTTACAATTAATTAAGGAAGTTTATTTGTGTTTGCTTCGCCAGAAGATGATTCACTGATATCATCTCAGTATTAGTTGCTGGAGTAGAAAATGAAACATTATTAATTCTGAATTCATCCTTCGCTAATTTATTACGGCTTTTTTGCTTCAAAAGCATAATTTTGTTTGATTTATTACTTTTGCTTCCATGGGATAATATTCAACTGGCACAGTAATTTCATCTTCTATGTCATAAATATTAAAAAGGATTTTAATTTTTTCTCTTAGCTGTTGAGATTAATTTCGTTTACTGTAATATTTCCGGAAGAACGATATCAGTTTTTACTTAGTTGCAATTAAGTCCGCAAACCACTTCTTCCAAAAGGATTGAGACATTGCCATGAGATTAATTTCCAGTGATAACAAATAGCTTGTTTTTTGTCGCCCACCTCAGTTTTCGTAATATGCTCTAACCATTGGTATTACGACATTTTCTGTTTACCTGTAATTACGATGTGCAGTCATTTTGACTGTAATTTATTTAACGGAAAGAAATACAGCATTTTTGTATTTTTTTAATAAAATATGTTATAATTTAGTTTATTAAATGAATTTTTGTTACAGGGTAAAAAATCTTCGAGAATGCTTTTAAATTGTTTTTTATTTTACGTATATTAAAAGTACATAAATCCAAGTATAAAGGACCAGGAGCCTTTTAGTATTAAAATCAAGAAAATACATCTTTCTCATGGCAGTTTTAGGAAATTATGGATATTGAAAATCTCCTATCATTTCATACGATAGTTCACCTCTGTGTCGACAACATATTAGATATTTTCAAGTGTTCTTTCGAATAGTTGATTATACATTAATAATCCAATACTTCCACTAGACTGCTGAACGCAGCATTCGTATTTCTTCGTGCAAATGTTTGCAGTGTTAATCCTGTATTATCAGTTATGTAACACAGGGCGGTTTTGGCAAGCTTATTATATATTTTTACATTTTATTCTATGCTAACATTTCTAAGCCTTCCTCAAATTCTTAAACGCTTTCACATTTTACGAATGGATGCAATATACCGAGTTTACTGCGCGGCCCGAAAGCGGTTTTCGTTTTAATTCACATGAAAATAAATATGAAAAAAAAAAGAACCTTAAAATTAAAGATTTATGGAATAATGTGTAAGTACTGCATTTTTTTATTCTAAGAATGCATTTCAGAATATATTATAGAGCTTGAAGAACTACATTAAATAATAAATAAATTCAAATATTTTCATTTTTTAAATTTCCTTCTCAGACTAGTAATTTATTTTGAGCGCTGCTTTTATTACTTTATTGGTATATCTATATATATATATATATATATATATTATGGTACTAATTTTAAGGATTACAAAATAATTTTAACCTGCTTTGAATCATTGGTTTTATTGATACGGCGTTTTATGGTTAAGCTGGCTCAACCAGTTAGACATAAAATCTGTACAAAGAAGAACTAAAACTTTATTTTGTTGGGTATTTTATTTAATACTTGTTTTATATTTATTACATTATCTTTAGTAAAGCATCCTCTTTGTTTCGATCTTAAAAAGCAAAACTATATAATACATGATAATTTATTACTTGTGTTGGAATAGCATATTGAAAAACGTATGGTTTTCAATATGTTTAAACTACTAGTTTTTTTAAGAATGTACGTCGTAAAGTCGTTACTATCAGGTAGTTATTAGATTAGAAGCACTTAATAGATATATTGATTTAATGTTTAAAGGTATTTAAGCTTTTACCCAGATGCGAAAAATCTGAGTGTTAATTACTGGAAAAAAATTTACCTATTCATCAAGCCTGCGTTATTACATTTAAGAAAAGAAGCATAACACTTTGTCACTTAAATAACCGCAAAACGATCCTCATTTATTTAAAATGTGTCAGTAGAAAATTCTCAAGTCAGGGAAATTATACAGAAGAGACTTGATTCAACATCGATGCTATGAGAAAAAATAATTTTGTGTACTTTTTTAAGCAGATTCCTATCCTATTAAAAGTCGAAATCCTGCATTTTTCAAGATAAGCTAGGAATAGAGGATTTCATCGTTTTTCTATTAATAAAATACACATCCCCTTTAGGTAGTTTTAACTAAAATAGATATCTCTTTCTGGTATGAAGACAACTTTATGTAGCTGATCTGAATTTAAACAAGCAAAAAACAAACAAATTTAACAGCGAATAGCGTTTTATGTTTTTATTTTATTACCTCGTCACAAAAGATGTTCATCTATTATTTGATTGCTTTTACTGGTATTTTCCTATTCCAGCCGAAAAAGATAGACTTCATATTAAGTAGCTTTGGAGATTATTTAAAGTACATGTTTTTTCCAAATAGTTCTCCAAAGCAAATAGAAGTAATTAATTTACTTAATATAATACACGTGTCCCTTTCTTTCGGAAATACTACTGTATTCTTGTAAATATGAAATAATGTTTAGTGCTTACGAGGGATTTAGGACATATGCTATTATAGACTATAGGATCAACCCCGAATGAGTGATTACCGGGTGTTAAATTTAAACTATAACACTTTTAAAAACTTTTTCAAACAAATGCTAAAAGATAATTTTTAAATGAAAATAATTGCATTTTCCCACTGAGCTTCCCCTGCAAGTAAAAGTATATGTTCAAATTCCCTTACATTTTAAAACATATTTAGATGTTTACAGTCTTTCATTCACTGCAGTGATTTAGGCACTTATAACCTCTTCATTTGGGAGGGGTATGAGCATTATATTCTTCAAAATATAATGCTCATACTGTAAAGCCATTAAAATTTTTTTGATTCTGGAAAACATGAAAAATAAGCAATGCCCTCACCGGGACTTGAACCTGGACCTCTCGAATACGAGCCGAGTGTGCTACCGTTACACCACGAAGGCATGTAGAAAGGAGGGAGAAAATACCTTATATAAGATTTTGCGATTTTTCTTTTCATTTAAGTAAAATGTACGGTATTATTACTTAACGGTACTTACTTAATGTACGGTTACTTAACGGTATTATTGATAAGTGTTCAGAAATGCTTGTATTAAGATGCACTGCTACGGTTTGAACATTATGACTGCATAAACTGCCCGTAACATATCATAACAGAGTATAATTTTTTACAGGAGTTGGAAAAAGTACGATGGCATCAAAATTTGATAAGAATGCTTTTTCCAAGTTGTTGAAGGGAACAGCTATTTCAAATTTTAACATGTAAGTATTCAATATTTTAATAATTTAAGAATAATGATAAGCATATTTTCGTGTGAGTAGCCCAAACTGCTTAGCCTACTCAGTGCAAGCATCATAAATTCTTGTGATAAACACATCAGTTTCATTTTAGAAAGCAGTTACACAAGATAACAAAGAGATCATATGGAGTAATTAAAACGCATACGCTATGTTAATCATAAATTAGGTTTGTTATGTTAATCATCTAATATTATAAGCCAGTAGGAAGGCTGCGTGCCAGAACTGTAGACCACTTAGCCGCAAAGCGTTTGCAGGGTGCACCACGATGAGGTAGGTCTACGTTGCACCCATCTACGTTGCAATGCAGTTGTGGCTTTCTGTCTGTCTACATGACATGATTGCCTTGCCTCCCACCTGCACCGCATAGGTATTTCAAGAGCTCCTAATTACCCACTTTTAATTCTGGAGAAAAAAATGGACAGTGACCACCTTCTTCGATGTGTAGCTCATCATGGTCTTACAGAAGAGCCGAGATACTAGGAGGCAAGAACGCTCCTTAAGCAATGACTTCGGTCCTTCTGTTCTTAATTCGGTCTTTCTATTATTTGTAATTCTCTGTTTGTAAGATTTTAGTTCTTCGTAACATTTTACCTAGCCATTGGAAATAATAAAAATATTATAAGCCATAAAGAAGTAAATAATTTCGAAACGCATCCACGTTAAAAAGGAATATTAATAAATGTAGGGGTAGAGTTTAAAAGCTATTAATAAATATGAAGTGTTTATAGAAGGATTATAATAAAGAAGTAATAGAATAGGCCCCTGTAGCCTTCCAAGTATCTGAGTCACTAGAATATTCTGAATATATATTTTTCACTGCAATATAGTCAAGAGACAGTGGTGTTGAATAATCGTACTTGGGATGCGGTATTTAATTGATTGCAAGTGAGTTAACGTGACTTTTAACTGACTTTGATTTTTGTAAGTGTGAATAACAAAAATATGCATGATGAGATGACCCCCAAAAGTACTGAAAAAAAAGTGCAAATTGCAGTTAACTTATAATGTATTTAACACAGTACTTCTTCGTACAATAAGATTATCCACACACTGTAATTTAAATAGTACTTTAAAGTACGTATAGGGTAAGATTGCGCAAGTCGTACCGCCTTGAGTAGTACTTTTTAAATATTAGGCGTAATATCAAGCCATATGCGCCTCTTCCAGCAAAACGAGTTACCCTCTAGTCAACCATATTGTTTCACATCGTGTTCGTCTCCCTGTACTATTTGTGAGGAAGCCGCGAAGAGAATATGATTCAGAGCCTAAATGTAAAGGATTTTGTACACGGCTTATGTGCTGCAGTTGACCAGAAAATGAAAAATATCTTTTTAATTTTTATTGTAAATAATAGATTGAATAAATTAATTGAGAAAAGAAAGTTTTATTATAATTGCTCAATTTTAAACGTAGCACGTCTTAAGCGACTGGTAATACGACTGGTTGTTTAAGTCGTATTAAGTTCGTATTCATAACTTCTACTAAATTTATCCAACAGAGTAGACTGTACGGAATTTTAGTGTAATGAATATCAGCAACGACTACACAAGATATTATTAACACACAATTTTTATTTTTTCATACATCTTACTATTCATATCTATTTTTCTCAGGTGGTACGAGTTACGGAACCTAACCCTATTCCGGTTCAAAAGTTGCAATCAAGGGCCTTTATTTAATTATAATTATTTTGGAGACTTTCATTCTGAGTGAACTTGTTTTTTGCAGAATTTGAAATAAAAAGTCCTTCGTAAAACATAGGTAATGAAACACAAATAAGTAAACAGAGTGCTTTTGTGGTGGGACATCCAGTCATTTATGTCCCAGAAGTAGCAGAAATATGTAAGAAAAAAATAGCTCTGAAACTTAAAGGAAGTTTGAAATTAACGTGGTTAATTTAATAAAACATTCCAAACATTTAAGATTAGATTCAGTATTATCAGCAATATAAAATGCATAGCACATAAACTGCAGCAAATCAGATGCTAAATTCGAGAGCAAAGAACATTTTTTTTTTTTTTTTTTTTTTACTTTTTTAAAAAAGCTATTAGTTTGGATGCTGTAGTGGTTTTTCTTTACCATGCAGTTGTAATAACAAAGAAGTTGTTTCAGCCTTGAAATTGAGGTTTCATTAGAAGAATTGAAATCTCATTATTACCATCTGCACCTTTCAAGGTTTTTCTCATTTTAGTTTAGCTGAGTAACGGCATTCTGTTTCCGTTATTTCAGACTTTGATACAGATCAGTAAAGATTTTACGGAAAGTTATGACCTAATTTGTTATCAATGAAGCCTAATCGATATCAAATTGATAACACTAATCACTAATTTGGTATTAATGTCTGGGAATAAAATGTTGTATATTTCTTGTAAGGGACATGTATATACAGCAGTTTCTAAATTCTATATTGCATTTCATGTACTTAAAATGTTTGTACTTGAGATCATAGTAGGTAAGATAGAAATGCATGTACGAATGAGCATAATATAAACATTTGACTTGAAAATTTAAAAATACCGAATAATTTAAAACCGAAGAGAAACAATTTAGCTCGGCACTTACTATAAGCACATAGTAAGTGCCGAGAATTATGTGCTAAGTTATGATGAAATGTTAAATAAAAAGTAATCTGATTTAAGAAACTGAAAATATTATCAAAAGCATGTAATGTAATAGTGTACTATAGTATGTTCACAATCATCGTTCTCAAAAAAATGCTGGCGAAAAAGTTCAGATATACTGAAGTAGTAGCAAAGGCATATTTCTCCTCCCTACAGAAAAAAGCATACTTTTTTATCACTTCTAAAGGAAATTTCAAAGAAAAATGATTCGTTGATATTTGCAGAAAGGACATGCAATTTGTACATCTCAAACTCACACTAGAACAAGAAGTATTATGGTAGTACAAGAAGTATTACGGCATTAGTTCTATGAAAGGTATAGTATATTTCATAGTTATAGTACAGAAAAAAAGTACATTTCGATTGATTGGCGAATGAAAATAAAGTTTTTTAAGTTGTTTTATTTTTGTTCAATTAGCCATACTTTAAATTACTTTTTACCTTAGTTTCTACTGATAGAATTATCACGGTAGAGTTTTGCACCTCATCAACAGTAGAAGGATGGCGTCCGTGAAGGAAGCCAACTATAAACGGCTTCCTTGTCATTGCCACTGCCGAAGAAATCTAGGCCATCAAGAAATATTTTGAGACACATAGAACGACCAAAATCATTCGGTTGCAAGTATGCTTTTTTGTATAGGGATAATCAATTTGTTCCCAACAAATTGACTTGATAATTCTGCCAGTTTCACATTCTTTGCGTTTAAGAAATTCGTAACAGACAACATTTGATAGTAGTACTACTAACTGCTCGATTGTCTTGAGAATTTTAAACACAGAGAATGTTACGTAACATGATCTGAGTTTCTCTAGATTATTTTTTAGCAATGGATAAAGCAAGTCACATCACAGGAACATAATCGCGACAACTTTGCTGCATCGACATTAATTGTCAACGAACTTAATTTCTAGATACCTCTCGCACAAAAATCAAATAATATCTTTAGGAAACATAACAGGTTAATTAGAAGTGCATCTCCAAAATCTTCATTGCAGTATGTTCCAGAACCTATGACTGGCGTAGATTTGCTCTATCGGATAAAATTTAAGCTTATAATCGGATGTCTGAAAATTATCGCACTGGAAAATCGTATTGCAGTATGGCTTGCAATGCAAGCAAAGCGGAGACTACTCGATCTTATTGACATGCTTCAGTTACCGTATAATTATACTTAGCCACATACCTATTTGATGTTTTTCACACCGTCACAGTCACAATATAACGCACTCCTCCTCTCGTGTTATTTCTGTACTCTAGTAATTTGCATGAGTACCTTGAAAGCCACTGTTGGCCCTCACGTTTGAGAACAAGTACCTTTTTTTGAAATACGCGTAATCTTAAGGCTCTTCCCAGATTAGTTCTGAACTAATAAACCTCCGATTCTGCAATGAATCGAATGAGCAAACGCGTGAAGCTCACCACAGTGTGAATTTCATGGGAGTTAAAAAAAAGAGTATAAATCGAGCTTTAAAGGTATATATACATTTTGAGAATTAGCGATCAGATTAAATGAAGATAAAATAATTATTAAATAATATTAAACAAAGATTAAACGAAGGTGGATTAATTATTTTATTGTTTTTCTTTTACAATATAACTTAAACTTTGCGCAACAATGAGCAGTAATCGTAACAAAAGAAATCAGCTCAAGAAATGAATCAAAAACTTCACTGTGCATAACGTTTCGGGTAAAAAACATTGTTAAACAAATATTTTTAAACGTTGTTAAACATTAATAAAACGTTGATCATTTGAGTGAGTTTACGCCACATGCATTTTTTTTTCGCTTTTCTAATAAAAGTTGTTTGAAATTCCATCATACGGGGACTCCCGCAAAGATTCCCCAGCAATCCAGAAAGCACTATAACGTCAAAATCACGAAGTAACGCAAAAGATCTAGCATCCATAGGATTTGAGTCTGTAAAATCTTTCCTTTAAAATCTGGCATACTAGATTTTTCTATGATGTTGATGTAAATGATTTTGTAATTTCTGCAGTACGATTTAAGTTTATGATCTATGTTCATTTGCTGCAATACAGAATCCCAAGGTATTTGTTTCAAGGGCTTTGTGTGCCCTTGTAACTAAATATATGCTTGAAATAATGTTACCTGTAGAGCCTTTCTGACCGTTGACTATGCTAGTAGCTAGGTGAATTCCTCCTCCAGACGATAAAACATGATAACAGTTTAAGCAAAAAAGTACTCCTTTCCTTCTCATGGAGGTGCAGTGTGCATAGAGATTAACCAAAAATAGTTTGCATTCAAGTCATCCTTTGCGAAAACTGACAACAGCCTCCAGACTTGAAAGATTGCGATGGTGTCGATTTAGTAATCACCG